TATATATATATTTCCTGCGTATTTCTATAATATTTATTAGTAAATGTTACGTGACAGTAGATTATACGCGCACGCATATATTTGCTGTTGATATGATGAATGTCATCACATGCAGTGGCAGATGTAATAGTGCAGTTTTTTGCTAGTAGTATAATGGGGGAAATGACTCGAATAAAAATTACTCGATGGTAAATTATCAAGACTACTTATTAAACTAGTTTTTCTTCATGTGGCTACGATTATGAAATAATTTACGATTATATTCTAACATATCGAGGAAGTATTTATCTTTACAACGTTATCAAGAAATAATTATCGCAATCAGCATTGATGTCATTTTATATACAATGTTGGGGCTTATATGGTCAATGCATCGAAACAGTAAAACATAACATATTTTTAAATTACAAAAATTAATATCACGATTCTTTTACATTGTGCGTATATGTGTGCGTGCGTACTCCGAGAGTAATAATTTTCTTCGAAATTTCAAGACATATAGCGGAACTAAATCCCATTCTCAGAAACGAATCGGCGTCGCTACTCGCGACAAACAGCAAAGAAAATAGGGAATGTCCCACGCTATCGCGACACTGATCACTTTGCTTGGTCTGCAAAGTACGCAGGTGCGCGACTTCCCGGTTGCGAAATTTATAGACTGATTCGCGCCTTCGGGTTTGCAAGCCGACGCGACTCCGTCGTAAGATCGGGAGCGCGCACGCGGTGGAAAACGGAGCCGAAGGGATCGGCGTCGATTCAATGCCCTTATTCGTTACGATCGTACATTACTGAGCGTTATCTCGATACAGGTGCGTACCCGCGGAAGATGAACGCGGTCGTTAAGCGGGACGAAACGGTATGCTGATGAGGGAGCGAGTTGCAGCGGAGCACTTTCGGCCCGGATGCAGTAAACGCGACGATAGCTCTCGCGTCTAGTTCGGTCGCCCCGTTTTGGAACGATCACGCCGATATCGTCTGAACACGCGTTTCTCGAGTACCGTGAATCGTCTTGTTATATGTGAATTCTTGTTTTGTGTGAATTCGTTTACATTCAAGTATAGAATAGAATAAAGAGCTCTCTCTATATATAAGTATTATAAATAATATTTAAATTAAAATCAAATATTTATATATATTTCTAAAACTTTAGTGTTGTGATGGCTATAACATTATCAAATATTCTTTTCGTCATAAACTTTTATAAGGTTGGATTTTTCAGCAAAAAGAAAAGAATATTTAAAAAATACTATTATTATTTAATCTGTTTTATATTGTACATAATATATACATATATAATTGAAGGTATTTAATCTATCTCATATATCGTTAATATATATAATTTATAAATATATAATATATAATTAAAATTTAGAAAAAATTAACTTATGACGGTAATGCATACCAAACTTGAAAATAAATGCGTTAAACACGATCATGATATCGGCATAAATTAAGATCGTCAAGCAGGTATTTCTCGCGGAACGTTTCACCGCATGATATCCAAAGCTAATGCATTTCTCATACTTTCCGCGAGTGAACAAGCGATAGATCTCTCGTGGAGAGTGAGTCACGCCTAACCGATCGACGCCGATCCTTACGATCGCTGATAAGACCGTTCGTGTGAAACTCTTTAAGCGTTAAACTCCTCTACAAATACATCGATTCGTATAACAAACACGAGCGAAACCCGTTCGAATCGGCTGTTACGCCCGAAATCTATCGTTTCACGAAAAGCCACTAGTTGAATCGTTCTCGCATCATAAATTTGGAAACGCGACGAAAGTGCCATAAAGCGAAAGAAGCAGACCAGAACGGCATGCGCGCCCTAATCCGACCCTCGTCGAAAACTGCGAGGCTAAATCGGCAAGTTCGACGAGCTAATCGTCGCCTCGTAAATTAATGCGGCCGCTTAACTGAAATTTCGAACGATATTTATCCCCCCCCCCACCCCCCGTTTTGTTCGCTCACTCGCTCGCTCTCTCGGTCAGCGATAAATTATAAGAAACGGCAGATTACGTCATAATGGACGCCGGGCACGCGCATCTGTTTTACGAGCGCGGCGTTACGGTAATCGTTGAACGAACCCCGACCCATCCGCCATCCCAGCCGCGCGCCCGCGTTTTCCGCTTATAAATTGGTCGAACTCTCAATGAGTCCTGTGTATCACTCCACGAGCCGGAAAAAAAGGGGAGGGAGGAGGGTTTCATTTCGAGGAACGGCGAAAGGGTGCGCGCAGAGTCCTCCCCCGAGGGGCAGAACCACAGCCGCGATGCGTGTAATCACTGTAATTTCGGTCAGGGCGCAATTTTTGGCCGGGCGATCGCGACGTCTCGTCCGATTTCATTAAACCTTCATTCCGGCCCGGCAATTTCAATTGCAGTCCCGTACACAATGTCTTACGGAAGCAAAAAATCGTGGGAAGCGAGAGCGGTGGTATAAAAGATATCACCTTTAATTTTTCTTTAAGTCTCCTGTTATTGAGATAATAAAATTATGTCAAAACACAGGATAAATAAGTTTTACTGACATCTTGTTGTTATTACTCTTACACACATACAAGTATATGTTATTTTATGACTGCTATAAAAGTAAAATTATATTTATTTGATTATTAAAGTACGGTTTAAAATCTGATGTATTACTTTGCTACCCATCTTGATATTAAAAAATCAGCGATTTCATTAAAACATTGATAAAAAATAAAATGGTTTCCATTTATATTTATTGTAATAAATGTATCGACATATATAGAATATGATAAATGTAATGTCGATTTGTTATTATAGTACTGAGAAGAGAGAGATTAATTTACATTTTTACTGCGCGATGATAATACAATGTGATAATCTAATTGTATCAAATTTCATGTTACACAGAATTTTTTTATTTTCTACATGTACTTTTTTGCTTGTAGTCCTTTTTCTATATGTATTATATACCGTGATCCATTTTAGCGATCCAATTTTTAATCGAGAAAAATATTGCTATTCAAAAAATATATTTTCAAACTTGGAAAGGAAACGAGAAAGATAACTAATTATTTCCTTCGTTGTGTACAAACTAAGTATATTTGTCGATTACTTAGGCCACAAAAAGAAAGTAGAATATAATAATTTTATAATTTATGATTTTAATATATATAGGGTGTCCCAGACCTACCATCTGCTAATGGCAAATTTTTTCTGAAGAAAAATGTTGAGTATAATAATTTCCGTATTATAAGCGATTCAAAAAGAAGGATCTTTTGCAAATTAAACTTTATAAAGAGCTAAAACTACATTCTTTAATTAATTTCATATAGAGTACTTTAATAGAGATAGAGAATTTTAATTTCAGGTTTAGTTACAAAGATATATGATGGAAAAAATTGGAAACTTGCAAAAAACAACGACCTCCTTCGATATTTTTACCGAGGAAAAATCATCTCCAAATAATTTTAAGAATCTGCTATTAGTAAATGGTGTGGTCGATCTGGGATACCCTGTATATGTATGTTTTAGTAATACATATGTGTGTGCTAGCCATTTCTCATCATTTGTATATTTTAGATATTGCTGAAATCAATAGAGAAAAATCGCGAGTAACATTTCGGTAATCGCAAAACCAGGATTATTAATTTTTATTTGTTTCATCCGTACGGGATGCATTGGTATAACATTGTATACGGATCGACGATGGTGTATACGGAAGATTAAGAAATTTCGACGATTTACGATCGCGCGCGCGGATACACAGTAATGCGTCGCTCGCACGAAACAGAGGATACGCAAGGTACTCGTTGCGTGTTCGGAAATTTTACCCTCCTCACGGCGATGATACGTACGCGCCGGCGGGCGAAAAATGAAATTTCTACCGCCGCCTACGTCGTCGTCATCGTCGATATTATCTCCATTCTCCGATTACCGATCTTATCGAGCCGCAATAAGATCGCGCGATCACGGCGTACACGCGATATTCTCGCTTTCGTCACAGGGGTATTGTTCCTTCAATAAGTGCCACACCGTTCCGAATAACCGCATAATCCAATACAAGGTACATAACTAATGTATCGAGAGATCAAAGCAATTTCTCTTTTCGCAATGTTGAAAAAAAAAATACACGACGTAATTTCAATGATTCATTATATTCAGTTTCTGCTAAACCGAAAAAGCTCTTAAACGATGAAAGGCTGCGAATTATCAGATGTGGGAACAGCTCAACAATCTCTTTAACATTCATGACTTTAAGACACAAGAATAGACAGCCTTCTTTATGACTGCTGTCGATTACCATAGAGATTAAATTGTGGATTCTGAAGTACTATCATTATATGATAGAAAACGATAATAAGAGAGAAAATACTCGCGCAAGTTGTATTATTTAGATATAATACATAACATCGTCATGTGAATCCTATTTTCAAATATTTATAATTAAGCAACGACAACTATAATTTCAATTTTATATTTTCAACCGAAACATTAGATTTAAAACTGTTTGATTCTTTGCTGTCGTAAAGATTGCAGCGAATTTTTTGTGATATTTAAGAACGAGATATAAATCGCGAAGCGTAACCGCGATTCGATAGAAGAAAATAAAAGGAAAAACTCACCGGCATCGGCGGGTGCAGTCCTCGGAACGCAGTGCTGCTCCACTTACGCTGCCTGGCCGGATGATAGTGGCCGCTTCTGTTATACGCGCTGTTGTTCTGATGATGATGATGGTGATGATGATGATGATGATGATTGCCGTACGACGAGCGCAAGGTGGGCCGGAAACCCGGGTACGGCACTCCGGCGTTGGCGTGTTGAAAGTCGCCGGCGTCGAAGCGGTGATGATGCTCCTGCAGGAAGCCGTCGTTAGGTATCGGCGGCATCCTGCCGTAGGCGGCGTGCCGTTCGACGCGCGACACGGTCTGCTCGTGACCGTCGGCGATTTTACCGATCGGCCCGTCCGGGGAAGGACGTCCGGTCGGGAACGACGACGAGGCCGCCGGCATCATGGATCCTGGATGATGATGCCCGTAGAAGGGAGGAAAACCGAAAGAGTTTGGCAGTCCTACGGGACGATATCCCGGCGGCGGCTGGCACTGTCCGAGAACGTCCGGGACGTATCCCGGCTTCTTGTCGTTGTAGCGATAACTATCGTTGTTCGGGTGCCGCTGATAATCCTCTCGGGGCTCGCCTTTCACCTCGACGCCGGCCTCCGTAGGCTCGGGCATCTCGATCTTAATCCTCACGCCGTCGTTCCTGTCGACGACGGGCTCGCTCTTGATCGCGAAACTGGCCGGCGATCTCTCTGGAGGACTCGTCGCGCCGGAGTCCTCGTCGTCGCAGTCACCCACGCTGGCTTGCTGCATCCTCGGGGATTCACGCGTCGACGCCACGGCGGCGTTTCTCGAACAACCACGACGGCGTCATCGTCTCGCGAGTTGATCGAACGGTCGTCGGGCCGTGGTATTGTCGTTGATAATTATCGTTGATCGATTGTCGCGAGCCGATCGTCGGCGGCTGTCGGTTAATCGTGGAATTGCGCGAGGGAGCCGAGGCGGAAGACACTGTCGTGCACCAATGATATTGGCATCGAATGCGCATTATTCAGATGCAGGAATCGTGTAGATTACAGAACGGCGCCAGCCTTGAATTTTCGCATTTCGGAGGAGAATAAGAGCACTGTATTCCTCGTATAACCTCGCATAAGTGCGAGAATTCTGTCAACGTCGAGGTGTGCATTCTAAGCGTGCTGTAAGCGCATAGCTGACGTAGTTTCGAGACATTCGTCTTATTCCTGTATCGTGGGAGCGTTTCACCTCGAGGAAATTTGCGCGTGGAAACGCGAGGCGTTACGCGCTACGCACACGCATACGCGTGCGAGTCGTCTCCCGGGGACGGGGCGTCGTCCGTGAAAGAGCACTGTATTCCTCGTATAACCTCGCATAAGTGCGAGAATTCTGTCAACGTCGAGGTGTGCATTCTAAGCGTGCTGTAAGCGCATAGCTGACGTAGTTTCGAGACATTCGTCTTATTCCTGTATCGTGGGAGCGTTTCACCTCGAGGAAATTTCCGCGTGGAAACGCGAGGCGTTATACGCGCTACGCACACGCATACGCGTGCGAGTCGTCTCCCGGGGACGGGGCGTCGTCCGTGAACGCGTGGATTTCGGTCGCGTGGAAGGGAGGACAAGTTTCCGTGTCACGTGTCCACCGACCTTAGGCCCCGCCTACGATTCCGATTTTCTCTCGAGTCGGATCGTTACCTGGCTCCTGCTGCCGGCGGCGAACCTCCGTGTTTGGTTTGAAGCGAGCCGAAACGCGGGCAACTTCATGGAAAACGAGAGGAGCAAAAAACATATGTCACACTCTGCCAATAACCTGAATTTCTCCAACCGCGCTCCTCTCTCTCTCTCTCACCCCCTCGTCGCTCTCTCACCCTCGCTTGTCCACCACCACCTTCTCCTCCACCGCCGCTTCCTCCTCCTCTGCCTCCCTCTCCTCTACTGCGACAAACCGTCGAGCGTGAAGCAGCGTGAAGCACCACGCGAACACCGGACGCGCGATTGGCGCGCTTTCTTTCTTGTCCGCTACCCGCTACTACTGCCGACGCGAGAACTCTTTACGGTACACTGCCTCGGGAACGCATCGCGAATCTCCCGCGCGGAACCACGTTAAGTACCGGACTGGGACGGTTTCGCGCCCTTGCGCGACGCGCGCGGACGCGGATGAATATGTGTGTAACGCGCGCGTATCTGTGCGCACTGTCCGCCGACTCGCGCGAGCCGTTACACACCGTGTATAACGCACCACCGTCGTCGTGTCGTCGCGAACACAACCGCCGCCGCGCTATTATCACGAGGCGATGAGAGACGTTGTCGTCCGCGGCGCGAAACACGCAACGGGGCCCGATACGCAAAGGAAGGCCGGCGGCCTCGGTCGAGCTGATCGCGTACGTACGAGTTTCGTTTCACGCAGCGTGGAACTCTTGGCGGAGGTGCGCGGCGCGCGGCGCGCGGCGCGAGGCGGCCACCACCAGTCGGCGGGAACGCACGAAGTCGCCCGAACGCCACCGAGTGCCGATACACTTCTCTCTCTCTCTCTTTCTCTACCTATCTATCTACGGACTACTTCAGCCGCCTCCCGCCTTTCGCGAACGACTACATCGATGCCGCCTCCGCCACCGCCGACCGACAGTTTCCACGAAGTAGAGTTGAGCGTCGTCTCGTTACGGTAAAGAATAGTATTTCCGTACTTTATCGAGTTCGAAGTATATATAAGTATATAACGACAAGTTTTCGGGACGAAATAATCGGGATATCTCTCGTAACAGTTATTTCGAAAAAATAAAGATGGCTCTCTCAGAATCGCGTGTTTTATCGCGGTTTTTAAGATCGCACATAATTATACAATTTAATTGATTTAAAATTTCTCACGTTTATGTACATATATATACACGAGATTTTTTAATTTTTGTCACTATTGATATTATTAAAATATCAAATTGTTTGGCAAAACGAACGCAATGATTAAAAATTTGAAAATTGCGTTGAAACGGACAGCATTATTGATCTTGAAAATATATTTTATTCAATTAAATACACACTAGACTATAAATCTTCTGTAAACCCGAGATTGCACTAGTTTAGGTATAGAATTCATCGTTCAATTCGGAACGAATCAATGCAATATTGCAAATTCGGTTATCTACATCTCATGTTTCATGGTACATACGTTTGTTATAACGTTAAGAGCATTGCTCGCGATAAATTACGTTAATGCATCGGTATTCTAATATATTATATATCGATGAATTTATTGTCATTGAATTTAAATTCCACGCGCGTTTTTTCTGCGATATATGTGTGTATACGTATATCAATCCTTTTTCCTCCGTCGTTACTTTGCGTTGCTTGCACCGGTAGTTTCAATGAGAACCGCCGGGCGCGGGTCTGCCTGTATCGCCACCACACGATATATCAGGTTACATATCCGTTGCGTCATGTAAATTGATACCTGTACACGCTCGTACACCGATCGGGCATTTATTTAAGCCATAAATTATCGTAACGTCCATTGTAGACATGCTCCTAGATACGATTTTACTAACCAGAACATCGGCGTTATACACGAACTAGTGCAAGGAGACAATAAAATGCACGTGCAGCCTTAGTGCCGGTCTACAATAGGTGATTTAAGATTTAGCCTTTGTTTTAAGAGAAAAATTACATCGATCCTAGCCTCAAGCTCTAAGCTTTAAAAGATGGGAGTTGGCCAACTCGCTTAGGGCTTAGAGATTAGGGCTTAAGGCAGCGCGAGAAATGTTTAAGGCCGAAAATACGTCATAGTTTAGAGGTTAAGTCATAAGGTTTAGGGCTTAAATTGCCTATTGTAGATCGGCACTTAAAGATCGTCACTGAATAATCCGCGCGGACTTCTGATTGTGAGCTAAATACTCCACGCGGACTCGATCGTTAGCCAATAATCATAGTCGTTCCAATTCTCAATCCAATGGAAAACTCGGATTTCATGTCGCGTCTTGTTGGCGGAGTTTCTTCCCTCATCCTCGTCGCATCCTTCTCACGTTATCTTATCTCTAATTCCAAAAAAGACTCGCCTCGAACGAGCAGCGAGCACCGCTCAGCTTCCCTGATTGCTCCCGAACTCTCGGTACGCAGATATAAAAAACTAAAACAAAAAATGTACCGATACTTTTTTCACAACTTTCAGCCGTTTAGGTGCTGTATTTCACACCGAAAGTGTGAAAAAACATGTTTATTTACATATCCACCTTTCGTCGACTTTCTTATCGTGTACAAGTTTTAAGATTTATATCTCAGTTTAGTTATTCACACAGATTTACTTTATACATTTTAGTTACTCACACACGCGATTATAACGTCCATGTAGTTCCGAGCGTTTTCTTGAAAGTCAATTTATGGAAGATACGCTTAATATATTATTGTTATATTACGGTTAAAGCGATCAACATCATTTGCATAAACAATAAATGTTTGCATATTATTTATATTCTTTTAATTTCACATTTATAAGGTGACGTTATAATTAATGCATATTAATATTAATCCACTGATGATTTCTATTCATTTAAAGTTTATTTCAAAATCTTTTAATCTTTTTATATTTTTTATAGAAATATTATTTAAAGATTTAAAAAAAGCATGTTCATATCTATACATATAAATAATTCGGAAATAATCTTATAACATTCGAGATACAGTAATTTTGAAGCATGTGTTTACAAGCATATTTTAATGTTGTTAAAGCCATAGTAAGGATATTAATTTGTAATATATTATGTAGAAATAAATCCATATATTAGTACGCATTTTTTTAGTATATCTAGAATTTCAATTTATTAATATCTTTAATTATTACCACGCACATTATTGTTACGTTTACGGCTAGAATGACTGTATTATATATATATCAAGTTTATACTGATTATATCTACAAAATATGTATAATGTTTGGCTAAAAATAGAACACGAATTGTTCTGTTTGCAATCACTTTTCATTTTTTAATTTTATCTAAACATTCGTAATTATTATAACTATTATTATAACTTTTTAAAATTTAATATATATATATATATATATATATTTCTTTACGCAAGAATTTGATAATTAGAGTTTAATATTTTTCTCTCTTTATATATTTGTCATGCAACGAATGTATAATAAAAAGTTAATTAAAAAATGAATTGTTGAACTATTATCGCAAATCATCACGAGGCAAATTCTCCATCATTGGACGTTACAAGAATATTTGGAGATTAACGATTGCAAAATATTCCGCGATTATTCTAATCTATTTTTAATATCTCAATATACATGCATGTTTCCTATCATCGATGTAGTTCTTGGCTCATAACCGTCACGCGAATAGAATTTTTCGGAACGAGGCTTTGTAGGCTCTCTCCTTGTTTTGTCTCGCATGGCAGGTAAAACGACGGCGTTGATGCCGCAGGTACGTAGAGCCGTTGCGAGCTTCGCCCTTTCGAAGTAGCCTATACGTGCACCCAACCGTATTGCGTTGCCGAGACAAAAGGAGCAGGAAGGACGGAACCGTGGGCTCTCCCATCTCTCTCTCTCTCTCTCTCTCTCTCCCTCTCTCTTTCTTTCTCTCGACGAACAGCCCGTCGATACTCGGGTTATACGACTCGCGGGGCGAATCGATGCGTGTGTGCATGCACTCTCTTCGCAGCGGGATGACTGGTGAGAGAATTCAATTTCCGTCGTCGTTATCGTGCCTCCATCTTCAGCTCGGGCCGCGTTCAGATCATCCTCGCTGACTCCTCGTTCTCCTCTCTTGCTGCCGACGCGGACGTAACGAGACAAAGCCGTCG